GGTGGGACTTCTTTACTTGAAAGTAATGAAAATGTGAGGCTGCAGTCGGCTGAGGCTCCAGGTCTGTAGTCCGCAGACTTCTGACAATTTTATTTGCTTATTAGACTGATGTCCCACGGCTCACGTTCAGTAAAAAACAATCAACTGAACATAGTTGCAGGAATGACAATAAGACCAAAGACTCCTCAGTTCAGAGATGAGAATCTTGGTTTGATGTGTATGGATGACCACATCGGATTTGTTAGGAAACAGTGATTCAATAGATAAAAATAGGAGAGGTTCAAGCCAGGGATGCGGTATTATTGGTTGAGACACATTTACTGTTGATTGGTTATCCTCTCTGTGTGAATATACCAAACAGATGTCTGACAGAGGTGGTGGGGTGGATGGTGATTTTTAATTTTTGTCATTCTTCAAGTCAGCCTTGACATTTCGGTGTTCTGCTGATATGGTCAGTACGAACAAATCACTTTGTTAGGCATCCGACAACGGTTGTTATATTTCTGAAATAGCTGAAATACCCCGGCTTCCTTCACTCTCACGCCAGATTGTTTCGTCAGCTCAGTGGTAACTACAACCTTGGCCCCTCTGAGTGTTTCCTCTACTAAGAGTTTGTTGAACTTCGCTTATCTGAGATTACGACTAACTTGTCTTTTCCTTGTGTCTCAAGATCCCGGTGCCCACGTCGCAGCCCAGCCGCCGCCACTCACGCCGCCTCACCTTCCTACCTGCATTCTCCGCCGGCTCTACGAACAACTCAATAAAACCTATTTCCTTCATTTTTCTCATGCACCTGCTTTCTGTATTTAACATCTAGATTGTACTTCTTTCCTCTTTTAAAAAAACATCCCAATTTGGGGGAAATCATCATGGCAGACATGGCAGAATAGCAGTCCTCTTGGCCTCCACTGAGCTCTCGGTCTTGTCATTTCAGCGCAGACAGGAAGCGTTTCGCCCCCCTCAGCCAAAGCAGCGGCTGCATAACACAGCTGGAGCGATAGGGACTCCCACAATGATTGAACATAATGACGTGTGAACCCATTAGCAGCTAATCAGAAACAGCAATGAAGCTGATGATGATGAAGGTGATACCGGTGAGAAATCCATCGCAATCATCAACCCCCTCCTCTCAATGACAAAAAGGAGGGTAATTGAATTCAAAAAGTGGATGCTGCTGCTGTGTTACTGCATGTGGTCGCTGCTTACCCAGCTACAAAAACAAGCCGACATGGATACAGGAAGGTTTTTATGAATAATGCATCCGTACCAGAGGAATGAATCTGCTGCTTTTACACTTGTTGAACAGTTTCAGTGTCATGTTCACTTCTGGTTTTATTATTCACTCATCTGGAAGAGTTGCTGTAACTGCTGATGCAACTTAATCAGGCAAACGTGAAACCGAGGTAATACGGCAAATTCACGTGCACTGTAAAAATCAAATCACATTCCAGCTCAGTATCATGGAAAGGTCCTGTAATAGTCACCAAATGCAAACTATAGGTGTTGTGTGTATGGATATACATTTTTGCTCAGGAGAAAAACAAATCCAATGGAAAGTCAATTAGGACCAAAACAACACATATACACACACACACACACATAAATATATGAATCCCAGCAGACAAAAAAAGACATTTATGACATGTAAGCACAAACACACAACAGCACATACATGTACGTACATACAACACGTTATTAAATTAATCAATATTACAGTTTCACACATGCCCAAACACTATCTTTCTCTCTCTCACACACACACACACACACACACACACACACACACACACACACACGCACACACTGTCCAGTGAGAGGGTAGGCATGGGAAGTGACAGCAGATGAGATCCCCAGACGTCTCTTTCCCGGGCTGCTAACAGCTGATCTGTCCCATTCTTCATCATCATCTCCATGGCCGGCGCTTCGCACACTACGCCCACAACAAATTCACTTTTTCCCCTGATTCTCTTTGTGTTTTGGTGATTTTCTCTCTTTCTCACTGCCTTCTCCCCATCTGCCGACTCTTCATTCTGTCCCTGTCAGTTTGATTCAGACTGTGGTCCTGTGAAGCTCACTAATGCTGCTGGAAAAACTAAAGTTTCAGTGAAAAATGGATCTTGATTTTTACAACTTGTTTTCAGTACAAACAATACAGCCTAGTCCAAATGTGTGTATATATTTGTACATATAAAACCAACGTAAAATGTTTTACTCTGTTTTTTCTGCATTTCAAAAGAGGAGATGTTTGGGAAATCAAGATGAATAGCTGTCTTACACTGTTTGAAAGGATATGAAGAAAAGAAAAGAATCTAATGGATAACTGTTGAAAAAGTTTTAAAAAATAAATATTTTATTGTCAGACTGTTCTGTCAGGCAGAAAAAGAAATCTGCATTCATTTATTGTGGAAAAATAAATATGTTCCTGCATTTGCCAAAACATAATTAAATACAGTAAGCTCATTGATGGGGTTGTTTCATTATTTCCCTTTTGTAAGGTTGTCCACATGTGTTTATATTTGTACAGATAAAACTGATGTACACGTCACACTTTTTTACTTTGTGTTTGCTGCATTTTGGCTCCAAATCTTTTTATATAATTATTATTTATATATTAGAGTTTTCTCACACAGTTTGAACGGATAAGAAAAGGGAAAAACGTAAATGGATGATTGACGAACTTTTTAAAACAATAAATTGAGTGTCAAAGACCGTTTTGTCATAAAAAAAACCAGCAGTAGTTTATTCAGGCTAAATTTCCCTTGTGCCCTTTTACAAGCTTTAATTTGCACGAAATTAAGTTCATCTCTGAGGTTGTGTCATTATTTTTCCTTTATAATCTTGACATACAAGTAAACATCATCATCAACTGTTAGAGGGGAGGCGTAAATTATGATGAATGTCCAAAAGATCCCTTCTATCTATCTATTATATCTTGAAGGCACATCTGTGCCTTACAATGACAATAATACATACATGATATGTGTATATATATATATATATATATATATATATATATATATGTATAGGTGTGTTTCCCCTCCTGAAATCACCATTCATTGATTGTCTTGGTGAACTAGAGGAACTCTTCAAAGATACTACAAGGATATAACCGGATTTTTGTGTCAAACAAAATGTACTTTTCATCTTTTCTAAAGGCATATCGCCTAAATCAGTAATGTGCTCAAGAGCCTCTTTGCAGTGCGACCATGTGTCTAAGATTACTCAAATCTTTCTAAGAGAGTATTAAAGCGACGTGTTTCTATAACAGTACATGAATGCATTATTCAGATGAGTGTTATCTTTTATCCAATGCTGAAGCTGCACACTTTCCATACGAAGCGCTTTTTATGCCGCTGTTTCCCCATCAGCACTCACAACC